TTCCGTCCGCTCCGCACCGCGCGCGTGAAAGATGTAACGACTTTTCATCGTGCGCGCATTGCCGAATGGGGTTCTCTTCGTGGCCGCGCCGATACGCTCGTCCGCGAGCGAGCGCATGCGAGAGCAAAGCGCACGATCACCGCGCGCCAAGGCACGAAGATCGAACAGGATCGCAATGCAATCGCTATGCATCGTTCTATTTTCATACCCGCTAACGTGTATTACCAGGCACTTTTGCCCTTTCGTATTCGCGTGAAAAAATTCACCGTCAAAGCGTACGTACAATAAGGTATTACCAGACCGGCCGTGCAACATTGATCGAACGTATCCACCGGTTGTCTCCAAAGATCGAGAAAAAAATTTACTCTCTCTTTCAGTCATATTTTAAATATTCGAGTTTGTGTAAATCGCGAATAAAATACGTGAAATGCGATTTACACGCCACATGTTCGCGTTTATAATATCGTGACACGGACAATTCGCCGGAGAAGATCTGCAACGAAATCGTGTACGCGCTTTACCGGTCAGTTCGTCTTCTTGATTGCACGAACCGAAGGCGCAACGCGATAAGGCAATATTATACGGCAATTAAGATAAGTCGCGGTGAGTAACATTAGCAAAGTCGTAATTAAACCCGAGTCGCAAGCGGGAGAGAAAGAGCGTCTACCTGTCTACGATCACGAGATGCCTCGTTGGCACTTCCGGTTGTTCGTGACTCGACCGCACCTGTGTCACACGTCCATCTCGGGCGAGCACGTGTGTTCGTTCGTCTTCGCAAGTGAATGATACAGAACTTTCTGACCTCGGTTATTAACGCTAGTCATGTTCCGCGAAGGTGTTCTAAACGATAATCTTATGGTTATTATGTTTCAGAGTAAAGTTTAATGTATTACACATGCGCGTATCATCTCATATAGATATATTTATCTATATGATATATAGATGTAATTATTTTATGTCTTGCTTAAATATCATACAACACAAAACATAATAAATGCATGCTTACAATTAAATCAACAAATTTTATTCAATAACAATATTTGGCATAAAACTGAGTTTTACGCTAAAAAAAACTTCACTATCAACTTGCGATTACAAACTGTACTAATGTCAATAAAATTGATATCGCCACATTTGTAGTTTAAAATATGCGAGTATCAAATACACGCATTTTTGTTTTGTACCGTAATGATGAAACTGGAAAGATTCGTGTGTCACTCGAAATTCTTTATTTCACACGATTACGAAATTCGACCGCGATACGTGATCAAATATTTCCAGTATTTCTCAAGGCTCCTCGCTACGGTAGTCAGTGGCGTTCGCCAAAACCCGAAACCCGAGTGGATCGTAAAAAGCTGAGCAATCGCGCGTAAATCGCCGAATTTATGGAGACGGCTGCGAGCATCGGCCGCACAAGCATGGAATTAGAGATCGACCTCCATCTCACGATCACTATCGTTATGATAATTCGACGAAACTGGAATTGTGGAGTATATATATAATGATATATATATATATATATATATATATATATGTACATGTATATGCTAGCAAATAAGACGACTTTTGGAATATTTTAATAGCACGATCAATGAATTTTAATATGTTTAAAACATGTCTCTTATCGTCGTTATCGAATGCTCTTCCGGCAAAACTATATATATATATATATATATATATATATATTATATTTCAAGTTTAATAAACATGAAATCTAAAACCAACCTTGTGAAATTAATTGGAATTAAAGTAATCGAATATATATACATATATTGCTATTTCGATATAATAATTTGTGTTAAAAACATATTACATATAATTCTTATTATATCTTATTATTCTTATTATATCTTATTATATCTTATTATATCTTATTATATCTTATTATATCTTATTATATCTTTTCAAATATAATAATAAAAATTATAAATTATTTTTTTTTGAGAAATTAGATTAAATAGCGTATAAATATGCGTAAGACATATATTTTAATCAAACATATTTATCGAAATCTTAAATGTAGAAGCAATTTTAAAACGTGTATTGACTTTTATGACATAGTAGCGCAATCGATGTTAGTCCTTTCTTTGGCATACTCCATAATTTTTGTGTTCACTCGTCACGTGGATTTATAGACTATCAATTCTTCTGTCTTAATGAAGACATTACAGATGAGTTTGTTATGATTAACGTTATAATTACTGTCGTCTGCACGTGAAAACATATAATCTACAAATGTATACATATGTATACACACGCATGAAAAGCATTTCTCGTGTTTTCAGATCGGTCCTTTTCTTTCGAAGACCACGATTCGAACGTTTAGACGACGAAGGAAAGAGAAACGCCGATGAAATTTATGTTTTCGCTGGCCTAGAACAAGCGAGAAGAAACATATAGTATTCTTTCAATGTCGCGGTCACAAGACGGGAACGGGGAAAAAGATTATTCGAAGAGAGAGAAAGAGAAAGAAGAAATCAGAGATTCAAAAAGACGAAGCGAACGTCGTAATTTGTGACGGTCGAAACGCCCACGGCGACGACCTTGATGTCAGAACGTACGCTCGTACGAACGTCGATTAAACGAAGCACCGTCGATTTCTAGGACAGGTTTCCTCATCGGTATTATCAAACGGAACCCGATGGATCCCCGCGGGAATTCGTTCTCCGGGGGAAGCGATTAAAAAGATTGGAAACAGCACGTTTAGGCCCATAAACGCGGACACGCTGCGAGCGTGAAAGCACGCGATGGCGAAATTCGCCCATCTGCCGGTCGTATATAATTCCATTTTAAGCAAAAATCGCATTAACGAGTCTCGCAAACTAAGCCTCGAAATCCCGAATTTATTGCGAACATTTGTACACTATGTTATACACGTGTACACAACTTAACTTATACAGCTTTCCGTCAAAAGTTACAATTTTACTGCAATGAATAACAATAGTGTGACAACACAAATACACGGCGATAAATAGCAGCGTTGTTGCGAGCAAAAATATTACACAATAAGCAATTTGTAAATTATAATATCGATGTAACATAACACCGAAATATTTGCAATAAAGTTTCACTCTGTTCGATTCGCACAATGAAGTTTATTGGCTTGAAATTCCATTCGATTTGCTAATATGTATCTTACTTTATGATCAATATCACATTACCACTCGCTACGACACATCTCGCTGACTTTGCGTTTCTATTATATTAATGTTATATTTTATTTAATTAAATTAATTTACATACATTTCCTTCACCAGTACGTAACGTCCATCTCGCTTTCGAGATCACACGATTACGCATGGATGTGTGTCTTTTTATTATCTTAAAAAAATTACGAAATTTGTTTGAAGACAAATATTTATTGTTTGAAATAATCTCATTTAATTCTGATGTACTTTACTTACATTTTAGAATATATGATAATATAATAATGTAGAATACATACATTATTATTATAATATAGTTTTTAATATACAAGTTATAATAAAAATGAATTTTAAGAGTTTGTACGAGCGAAAAGGTAATAATATCTTGTGTAAGACTAAGATAAAAATATAAAACAACAAAATATATAGGTAATAAAAGATTTTTGTTTGACTTTTAAAAAACTTAAGTACTTTTGAATACATAATGATAAAATATTATTGTAGAATGTGTTATATGTAATCATAATGTGCCGATACAATTTATATAGGAAACGATACTGTGTAAGAGTTTGTATAACAAATAAAGAAAATAATTATTCTTTGTGCGAGAAGTTGAAAACATAAAATTTATTTGTAAAATTTAGGTAGTCAAAAAAATCGATTTTGAAAGTTTGCAATTTGCTATATATTTTTTATTACACTTATTTTATGTAACATATAATGATATCATTTGAATGTAAATATTATATAGCAGTATGTTTGTCATACATATATAATATTCACTTAATTTTAACACATCGTTTTACTTTACTCATCTTAGAGTACATATAATACCTTAGAATACATTATAATATAATATTACAGAATACATTATAATTATAATACAGTTTTTATACTGTATTATAATTATAATGCAGTTTTTTTTACATAATTTATATTAAAAATTATTTTTAAAGGTTTTTTACAAGTAGAAAAATAGAACTATCTTTTGTAAGAACAAAAATAAAAAATTTTTGTTTGTGACTTTTGAAACTTAGTCACTTTTAAATATATAATAATAATATGTTATTGTAGAAGACGTTATATATGTATGTATATGTATATATATACCGTGGAGGTGTATATGTATATATATATACATATATACATATATACATATATAGTCATAATACAAAATATAGTCATAATATATATATATACAATTTATGTAAGAAACGAATACAGGAGTAAGAGTTTTATATAACGGAGGCGAAGATAATTCTTCGTGAATAAGTTGCAAATATAGAATAAAGTTTTTTTGTGTAAGATTTAGTTAATCGAGAAAATTAACTATTAAATTTCATTTTCAAAGTTAAAACTCTGCTATATATCTTTTGTTGTACTTATTTTACGTAACATACAATATATCATTTAAATTTAGATATAACTTATTAGTATATTACTATACATTACAAAAAAAGAAATAAATTCTAAAACAAAGTTATGAATATTTTAATTGTATACATATGTGCAATATAGAATACAGAATTTTCTAGAAAATTATGATTTATATAAAAAACTTTATTCTATATTTTTAATCTTGCAAAAAGAATTATCGTTTTCCCGATTGTGCCATCTATATTTATCGTTTTCAGCGCATATGTATACCATACGCATTTTTTACTATTAAATTTACATTTATTCACTTTCATCTTATCTACTTTCTAAATATCGTCAAAGAATTTACTATATGCAGTAAAAAGATCTATAAGTTTTTTGGTACGCCATCTAAATCATATTTAAATCTAAAATCTGGTTCATTTGTAGATGGATGCTTGCATACATCCTCTTATGTATGCATGCATTTACTTTTTATGTATTTACAATATCACTATATCTGTATGTTCTGCATGATCATGTACCTTTAGCATCGTCTTTGATTGGTAAATTCTTGCATCGTAACATTTTTCACATAGAATTGCATCGTGGTGACTCTTTCTAATATGCTGCGTAAGTAAGTTCAATGAACTAAATTGCTCATTACATATTTCACATTTGCGTTCTTTATACTGCCAGTGTGTTAACTTGTGTTCGAGGAAAGCATTTTCAAAATAATATTTGTTATCGCACAGCTTGAAAAAAAGCAATATAGTATTATTTTACTGTATTTTTACTATACATATACACACATAGATATAAATATATAATATGTGTATATGTGTACATAAAATATATAATATAAATACATGTTTACATAAAATGTTGCATACTATTTTTTGGTAAAATTCTTGTTCTAAAGAACTTACGTAGCAGATATGTATAGTAGGCATATGGTTGGAACGGCAATGATTAAGTAACTCTGTCATAGAATCTATGGACCTTATAAGTATACATTAACGAGAATATAAGTAAACATATATACGGAGAAAAAATCCATTATTGCAGGAGTAAAATTCAAGAAATAAGGAGAATATCTAATAAAACGTGGATACATATTTCTTTGTCGCAAATTGACGTGTAAGCGTATTTCATGTAGCCCTAGTGATCATTAAGAATCAAACTAACCGAATCCGAACTATTTTTCTTTACATAATCTCAAAGCGATGTTTCGATTACAATCATGTCGCGTGAGGAAAATATTCTAAATCTAAACTAAATTTGATGATACAAAATGACCGCAAATCTCTTTCTTTTCATCCCACTAACTTTATATCCCTTGATAATATATATCATAAGGCTTTCTTTATATATTCTCTTACCTCCACGGTATACATTTAAAACACATATATAATCCATTTATATTGTATGGTGCATGAACGTTCAGTACGTGTTCCGTATAAGCTTTGTAGGTATATTGCAAGGTTCTACATATCTTGAAAAGAAAACAAACAATACAAACAAAGAAATATAAATTTATTAATATTCTCTGAGATTTTAATAATTATTTTTGTAAATATCTTTAAGATACTTACATAGCAATAATAACAGATTACGGAATGCGCAGTTTTCATATGTGACAGTAAGTCAGTTAGGACGGAATATCTGAATTCACACATAGTACACATATATCTAAGGCCTAGATGATAATGATAATAATGATACTCCCACTCTTTGAAATTTAGATAACTTATATAACACGTCTAAAAAAAAGTACATACATGTATTTATGCTTCGATTGTTACTTTATCATCGATTACTTTTAAGTTTTCTTGTTTATATGAATATACATATTTGTTAAGAGTTTATCTTACTAGGCATTTATAAACGGGATAATATGTGTACTCGACCAACGATGTATACGTCACCAACGATGCCACATCACTTGAGGGTTCTATCGAGTTGTCGAGTTCCATTGGTGTTTTAATTTAGTAATTTTAAAAGAAACGTCGTCCTCTCATAATATAATATAAACCTTGTGTCCAGTCGAGTTTGTTGTTACACATTTTCTAAAGTCTTTTAAACTTTTTGATACGAAATCTTTTGTTAGAAGAAAACGATGTATAGCAGTCGAAAGTCACGTAACAACTGAGAATTCGTATGTCGCTTTGCGGTGAAGACGAAATAAAATCATAAACAAGACAACGTGTTTGTGCGACTGTGTTTATGTGACTTTCACGAGTCATGTATAAACGATCATAGCGATTTAATTTAAAATGCTTTGTTACAGTAATGTTTATTACTCATATTTTTAGTTCTTGTAGAATTTATTAAATACTCTCTCTGAATCTTAATTTTTATATTATAAATTACAGATTAGCTCTTTGTAGCAAACAGCTGAGCAAAACAACTCGAGTTTGAAGAGTGCACAACGCGATCTATCGCGTCGATCAATCGTAAATCGACGATCGCCCACTCCAACAACGGGGGGACTATTAGTGGGTCATAGTAGCTGTCGATTTTTGGAAAGCAACTGCGCATAACGATCAGGCGTTCTGATTAAATGTTTTACCCAAATCTTCTAACAAAATCAGCGTTTAAAAATTGAATCGATGGTTATTTAAATCGTTTACTTACCGAAGAGAGTGTGTCATCGTAAATTATTTTAATCGATATACCGTGTGAGGTCAAAAGAATAGTTTCTGAATTGACCGGTGTGCTAAAGTTTTTATTCGTGCGCGATCTTGCAGCGTATCCGCTTAAATATGTAAAACCCAAAACGATTGTGCCTCTGGCATAGAAAAGTAGGAAGATAGATCTTCGAAATGTAATGCGTGTACATCGTTTATTCGGACATTGAAACATCGTGTGAATTTATCAAATACGTGATCTTAATCTGGCCTTACACTGTAAATTACTTTTTTTTTTTAAAATGACAACGTATCGCTCTTTGACAGTTTTACGAGAAGAAAATAGTCGCCGAAATGATCAACGAATTCTTCGATCAAACCATCATTCGCGGCGGCGTTTCGGCATTCTGAAATATGTTTGCACCGACATATCTTATTTCCAAACAGCGTTCAGAACTGCCGTTTCATTCATATTGAAATTAAGCTTTATGCTCACTGACTTCTGTCGGGACATCGGCTATTTATCACCGTCCGGCAGCATCGCGCGGACACAGTCTGCGTGATCGCGCGTTTATCTTCAAACCCATCCTGCGGCCGCGATAAATCCGCGATTTCATCTCCAGTTCCGTGTTCGATTTAGAAATCCACGATTGCGTCACTTGCGCGTAGTGTTTTTCTGCGCGACTTAATCGTCCCGCGGCAATCGAAACGAATCGAGATTATTGAGCGAAGGCGCAATTATCCGCGGAATGATCGCGACCTCGACGGTGATGCGTTTCCAAGATGCCTCTCGATCTCGGCGTTGTGACACTTCCTCTCATTGATAAATCGACGATAATTGTTCAACAAAGATCGAGCTCGAAAGATCTTCACGGCGGATAAACTCGATAGTCGCTCTTGTGATAAAAATCTGATTTATATCGAACACGATCTGAGTACGCGGGAGTCTTTAAGTGACCATACCGAGTACCAAGCGTTAATTGATACTTTACTTAAATCGTCGGATTATTCAACGCGACGGGAGTCGGAATTACGATACGCTACGATTCGGGACTCGTTACAACAGCGCGCGCATCTCGCGCTCGCGCTCTCGCCGCGGATATCTTATGACGAAATTAAAAGCGGCTCGCGTTTACGATAGGAATTAATCGGCTAGCGGTATATACCGCATCGTCTATTCCGCATCGTAAAATGAGAGTTCCTATATATATATACGAAAACGATATTTTCCTGTTCCCTTGGTGGGCGCGATAAACGCTGCCGCGGCCACAAGCTCAGACGGATCGTTTCGTTATTCGGGGAACAGGAAGATTCCAGACGCAGCTGGGATTCTCTTCTACGAGAAGAATCGCGATCGTTCCCCGCCTCTTGAGAGGGGTCGAGACTGGAGCGTAACCCCGTGCAAGCCGACCGCGGTCACGGGCGCATTTCGAAGACCGTCCGCAGCAGCCGGACGTATTGATGCGATCCGAGATGCTTCGCATCGTCGCGACGCTCGAGTGAGTTTCACGATTGCCAGACGAGAGAGCCGCAAAGCGAGCCCCGATAAAAACTTCGCGCTCTGACATTTGAACGAAAATTTAAATTTCCGAACACAAAGTGTGCTCGATTTTGGCAGATCTTTAAGACGACAAAGCAGAATAAAAATAACAGCGTGACATTTTACAACGTGACGGTTAACGTAATTGACTTCGAAATTGAAATTTAGAAGAAAACACTCGGAGAGATACTAGGCGGGTGTTAACGAACGAGCTTCTAGGGCGGAGTGCATCTTCCCCGTTGCGGTCGGTCGGTCATAGGGCGTGAGAAGGCACCAGCGATGACGTCACCTCGTGTATTCAACGTGCCGCAAAATAATTGCAGTCTCGTAGCAAGTGCCGTGTCATTAGGCGCCGCGATCATAGAATTTCGTGTCGTTCGCGTACGAAATGGTCATTAAATCATTATGTTTATCCGTCAACCCCGCGTGCCGGCAGCCTCTTGACCTCTCTGTGACCCGTCCACACCACACCGTCTTTCTCGCGTCTTCTCGGTGACCCTTCGTCGTCGCGGACGAAGACGAGGCCGTCGTCGTCGTCGTCGTCGTCGTCGTCGCGCGACTCGTTCCACGTCGATTGTGAACGTCTCTCCTCTCCCTCTACTACCCGTCACTTATTTTTCACCTCTTTTCCCGCGCGCGATCGGCGGTGCGATATTATGAAAACGATCCGCCTGTGGCGCGCATAACCGTTTAACGGCGACGAAAGCACGATCGCGATGACGCGCGCCACGGTATGCCGCGTGTCTTTTATGACAGTCAGGTGCCGTATAAATTTGTTTAATGCACCGCGACCCTGAAACAGCTGAGCCCGGTAATGGAATCTCCATATATGCGTTTCTTTATTACGTCGAAAATTACGGGCCGCGACGAGCGATTCCCCGAACGCGGCCGTCACTAACGCAGAAACGTACGCGATAATTTACCGCGTCTTGACTATTGTGCGTCGGGCGGCGTTATCGACACTCTTTTCCACCCTCCCCCGCTGTATATGCGCGATGTCCGTCGTCTTCGTCCCGTGTACGGAACGCGTCACTCTCTTTTTCGGTCTCGCGATGAGCAATATGTGACTCTTAGTCGCGTATTTCTCTACGTGGGTGTCTCGTGCCGAACGATCGATAACAAAGTTTTATTATCGTTTGTTTGCGATGACGAATCATTGGGGGAAAAAAAAAAAGAAAAACACACAGCGAAGAACTATCGTCATCACGATTCGTGCGCCGCGAAGTTTCGGTCATCTGGAAGACAAGTTTCGAAATTTCAAACGACGCGCGTAACCGGACGATCGAACAAACAGATCCGAGTCCGGTATCCTCACGAAAAATATTGGTCTGGCCTTCTTTCCGTATTGAATTTCAAATGAGCTGCCTTTTTTCCGGAGAAAATTAGGCTTAACAAGGGATACCACTTTATTCGTCGCTCTAACCGAGATCGCCTGCGAGGCTAGGATTCTAGGTCTACGGCTTCGAATCTTTTATAATCGAAGAGCTCTCCACACGCCGGAGCATCAATCGAGATAACGAGAACCGGTCGACGCGAGCATTCTGTATATCGTGTGGATTTGAAATCATTTCGAGTCGTATAACGCAGGAAACGTAACCGCGCGGCCAACTGCATTAAAGAGTGGAACGTACGACCAAGGTTTTAATATCAAAAGTCCGACCGCGCGGCTGATATACGAGCGATCGGGGACACGTATCGTATCTCGTGTGCTCAACGTTTTAGGTAGCGTTTTTTTCCTCTCTCTCTTTCTTTTCCGACGACTCGGTTTAATTATGGAGAAATACTTGTTTATTAGAGATCAATACGAGAGTTTATAATATTATCGTAAGTTTAGGGAATTAATTAAAACCTAATTATCCACCCAAAGATCTTATCATATATGTTGCAACATTTATAACATCAAATTCCGCACATTATAAAAAATTAAATCCTTGATATGTTTCTCTATTGTAAAATATCGGAGATTTTTATTCTCAATAAAAAAATCACATTGTGAGCGGAATAACAAAATTTATTTAATTTTTTCTTGTTAATACAAAGGACACTCTGCGCTATATGTTTGCTCGAAGAATGGGCGAAGATTTCAATCGATCATAGGTGAAAAAAAAGTTGGCGATTTCTCGGCGCTTCGCAAGCTGGTCATCCGATCGGACACGTAGTGTATACCTGCACACGTGCATACGCGAAAGCTCACCGTAGTAAACACACGGTGGGAGCGGTGTTCGATATATATTTGATAAGGCGGGTACACGGCCGGTCGAGCGCTGACAAATCGTCGAGAGATCGCCGGACAGATATCGCGAACCTCGACGACGCGCCGATACACTTGATGCATGACGATGGATCGGCTAAATTCTCCACCCGACGATTCGAGGGCACGTTCTCCGACCGCGGTATCGCGCGAGCATTTGCAAACCTCAATTCAATTCGATGTTTGGTATTTTATTTAGTTTGTTTTAGTGTGTATTTAAAAAATAATATTTAACATGAGACGAATTC